GGGGTGGAGGACAAGGCTGCAATGTGCAGCACTGCGCCGCCCATTCCGAAGCAGCGACCCGAAAGCACTGTCGCAGCACCCATATCAGCTGGTGATGAGAAGGGTACGGAGCAGGGAGGATCAGGACAGGGAACCATCCTGGCACAGGGCTGAACGGCGGCGCGGGCTCGGCAGGTCTGAGGGGCGCGACCTTCACTTCGATCGACTGCGCGACGGGAGCCGAGTTCCACAGCCTCTTCGGGAGCGGCCCGTTCAGCCCGGAGCAGCCTCCGTGCAACGCTCGCCGGGAGGAGAGACAACACAGGCGAGCAGACGCTTCCGGACTTCCTCCGCGTCAGCTTCCTGGTCTCACAGGCTGGTAAGCGGACAACCGCTGGACGCAGCTGGAAACGCGTCGCCCCAGCAGCCGCCACTACCAGCTCTGGACGGGGATGGGGTTCGCCAAGAGCTGCGTGGCCCGACGATGCTAGCATGGATCGGCAGCAAGTTCTCCGCCAATGACTTGACCAGGTGCCCCCAGGATTCACATATATCCAACCTGTCGATGTACCTGCATGTGCGCAACTTTCTGCACATGCGCGAAGGCTGTGCGATCCATAACGCATGGCCACACAGGAAATAGAGAACGCTCATACTACAGCCACCGGTATCACAAGGAGAACAAAGGTTTCTTTCTGGCCACGGCGAGCCTCGGCCACGAGGAGGTTCCCCGACCCAGATCTACAGAAAGGCCAGAGAACCAAAGCACCTCCTATGCGCAAAGCGGTCCTCATGCCAACGCCCTGACTGTAAAAGCCACACGATCCCTTCCGACGACTGCCCTGAGGAGTACTTTGCGGTCCCTACGCTCGAGCTCCGTCAAGGAATACGTTCCCAAAGTACACGTCGTTCATTTCTAATCGTGCTCCTTTCTAATTGTGCTCGTTTCTAATGGTTCCTGGCCCCCAGTGGCCAGGAAGAGGCCCAGGATAGAAGAATTAGAAATGAAAGGATCTTGGCCCCCAAAAATCAAAGAACTCTCGAATAATTAGAAACGAGCAAGGTGTATCTAGCGTGCCAGGTTCTCTGCACCGCAAGCCAAGTGCTCCGCTGCGCTCGTGAGGAGGTGCGCAGGATAGCGAAGGCAATCGTGAATGCTGCCTCCGCCACGGGCTTGGAGGACGGATTGCGGCTCGGTCTCCACGTGGAGGCGCCGTCGGGGCCGAGAGACAGAACGGGAGCGAGCGGACCTGCCTTAGGCCGGGCATGTCCTCCTGCACGGCGATGTTCGACGAAAAGCAAAAATAGTCAAAGCATATTCAGACATGCTTCAAAAACAATTTAAACATCGTCCCCCGACGATTCTTGGACTATTTTTGAATATTCCTCCTGTAGAGGGACATGCCCGAGTTAAGACCTGCCCGAGCAACTCTTTCAGCCTTCTCTCTGCAAAACTCTCCCTGCAGCGATGCCCAACAGCCCCCCCCGCCCCGCAAAAATGTTTTCGACATGTCAAGAACAACTGCGACGAGCGGATTTTCACGACCCTGCGCACATGAACGAGCTCATGAGCGCTGTCTGGCCCACCTCCTCGCGTAGCCCCACCCCCCGAAACCAGGCATCTCAAGCCGTTGGCTTGGGAAAGTATGGCTGGCCCGCCAGCACTCACACCAGCGGCAACTCAATATTTACGAGGGTTAAACACAATCACCGGTGACAATGCTGCAGTCCGGGCTGTTCCCACAAGAAGCCTCCTCGACAAAACCAGCCTTGGTTCGCTGCTACTTCCGCCTTTCTTTCGTTGAGTGTCCCGCCCGAAACATCGGCGCAATGGTGCCCCTTCTCCTCTCCAACGGCTGGAACCAGTCATGCCCAACCTCAGCTCCCCTGCCGGCTGCAACGTGGGATAACAAGCACTGTGCACTAACAGGTGCATCCCGCATGCCCCACCCATCGGCAAACATCGGGAGCTGCCGGCGGCTGGGGGGCATCTGCATTGGGCGGTTCGGTGCAAACGCGATCGAACTCCCCCCCCCGGCCCCGGGGCACACACACCCTTTTGCGGGATCCCGATCAAGGGGGGACAACGATACAGCTACGGCGTGTCAGCCCACGGCGAGCCGCGGCCACGAATCGATCCCACGCCCTGGACGGAAGGGACGGTCCGAGAAGCAAAGCGCATCCTGAGCCCAGAGTGGTCCTCGTTTCGGTGTTTTGACTGCAGGGGGGGATAAAGCTCAGGGGGGCACATCGACCCGCGATCGCCCATTCCTCGCCGACATGGGGAATGTTAGTCCACCCGCCAGGGAGCGCGCGGTTTCGCGATCGGGGGCCGATGGCCATTCTATCGGCGATGTATCGTCGAGTCAGGCTCGGCCTGAGCCGGTCTCCCCTGCCGTCTCCCCTGAAGGTCTCACTCTGCTCAGGCTCGCACAGCCCGGTGTCGGCTACGCGCAAGGCAAGGGGGGGCCTCTGGCACGCTTTTTGCCGATCGTCGCATGCGACGCGGCAGTTTTAGCGGCATGCGTGCTTTGGTTTGGCTCCATCTCTGCCTTCACCAACAGCTGCACACGAAAGTTCAGTCAAGCGAAGGGTCACTCGCACGTGTAGCCGAGGAGTCTCCCAATCCCGCTCTGCCTGGGACCCATCTCGCCCAGAATTGCCTTCGTGCCCGCAGGGGGGGGAAAGGGGAGCGGAACGTCGGAAGGACGGGCGCGGGATGGCCCGCCTGTCATGGTCTGCCCGCCCGACATCCTGCGGTGGGCCCGCCCGACACGCCCGGTAAGGTCGACCCGCTGGTCTGGGTCCGAAACAAAGAACCGAAATCTGTACACCGAAACCGGATCCTGGTGTATACAAGACCCTGGTGTATATTGTTTGCGATGTTGCCGCGGGAGGCACGACAAGGACAGCGTCGTGCTTCCTAGGCACAAGCGGCGACGATCACAAAACACACCCCCGCGTAACCATACCATTTGTAGAGGACGAGGAGGAGGAAGAGGAGGATGAGGAGGATGAGGAGGAGGAGGAGGAGGAGTAGGAGGAGGAGGAGGAGGAGGAGGAGGAAAAAACCGCGGCCCGCCCGAACGATTCAGGCGGGTGTTGCTGCCAAACGCGGCGATCGGCCCTCAGATGGGCATCGGTCGCCCGCGATCACCGAGACCGCATCCTGGATCGTTTCGCCCTTTAGCTTCTAGAGGCTCTGCTTGCATGGCCTGTACATCTCTCGATGATACTCCTCTTGCTTTTCGCTTCCCTAGCACAAGCACAGCATTTAACAACGCCTGCTACAAGGCTTGTCTACGCCGCTAGAAACAAAAACACGCATTCACACTTCTCTCATGCACGATCGCTTTCAAGTCTGGGGGGGCCATTGAAGTTAAAAGCAACGCATGAAGGCGCAATCTATATCTGTATAACTCTTACTTTTCTACCTTCCCACGCCAAGGGGTCTGTGGCTAGCGGCGCTAGCAACCACCAGCTGGAGAGGCCTACGCCTGGACCTAGTCCGCATCAGACCCCCCCGAAGCCGCAGGAGACCTCAAGGCGACCCCAGGGACACGCTGGCTTGTTGGATAGCATCAAGGCCAAGGGCCCCGACCCGAGGGTATAGCGAGCAGCCTCAGACCCAGGAGGGTCTGGGTTAGGGTACGCCGAGGCCTGAGGGGGGGGGGCGGGTCAGAGCGGAGTGGCGGCTAGCCTCTATACAGCGTGGGGCATTCACCCCGCATCCACTGAAGTAGGCCTAGCACTACTATTGGGCGGTCCGCGGGTGGGAACCTCAAAGAGATCTACGGAACTCGCCCTCAGGTTTCACCCGGTGTCTCAAAGGATGCGGCGCTGCTCGGTCTTCGATTGTTCTGTTACAGCCGTGCCGATAGCAGCTCATAACTCTTACTTTTCTACCTTCCCACGCCAAGGGGTCTGTGGCTAGCGGCGCTAGCAACCACCAGCTGGAGAGGCCTACGCCTGGCCCTAGTCCGCATCAGACCCTCCCCGAAGCCGCAGGAGACCTCAAGGCGACCCCAGGGACACGCTGGCTTGTTGGATAGCATCAAGGCCAGGGGCCCCGACCCGAGGGTATAGCGAGCAGCCTCAGACCCAGGAGGGTCTGGGTTAGGGCACGCCGACGCCTGAAGGGGGGGCGGGGTCAGAGCGGAGTGGCGGCTAGCCTCTGTGCAGCGTGGGGTATTCCACGGACTCACAAAATTGGCGAGGGGGGAACTCGCGCGCCGTGTCTGCAGATCTCTATTCCATCGATGTGGTTAGGCTCTGTACTGGCATATAGAACGATACAGCTGGCAGGCAAAGTGTCGAATCAATTCATCATCCTCCTGGGCTGGCGCTACTTGCACAATATCGGCGACGGCCTGCTCGATGTATATTTTTGCTGCCGTGGCTGATCCCCAACGTCCTCTCGTGATCGTTGTCTCCATACTCTGATGGGGCATGAAGTCGTACGTGGCGCCTCCTCGGCGGCAGGAGTACCACGAGAACCGAAAGCCGTCCAGACGGAAGAAACTCAGCAGCTTCTTCAGACAAGATCTGAGCTGGGATGGCGTCCTTCGGCTGATAGTGGCCAAGGGCGCGGCGCCATCGTGCCACTGTCTGACCAGCTCGACGGCGACAGGGCAGTCTACGACGACCATCTCCGTCATCGCTTCGCGGTAGCCTGTCTTTGTCTCAGGCAGCCGCACGATGACCCTGTCGCTGATAATCGCAACCTGCTGCTTGCAGAGGGTGAACAGCTCGGTCGTGCGCAGCAGCCCAGCGAAGCCCAGGGCGAGGAGCGCGCCGACGTCCTGCGCCCCGCACTCGATGGCCACGGCGGCCATGCCCAGGATCAGCTCTGGTGTAAAAGGTAGGGTTCGCACAGGCGGCTCGCATCGTCTCCAGGCTTTCAGCGAACTCCAGGACAGGCCTAGGTACTGCTTCACGTAGGGGAAAAAGAAACCGATGGAGGCGACGGCATAGTGCGCCATGCTGACAGGCTGGTCCTCACTCCACAGCATCTCGATGTACTAGGCGATCCCCTCGTCAATGTCCAGGGGTCCCGAGGGCCACAAGCCTATGGCGTCCCAGTGGTCGAGCACCCTCGTGATGGCTGCTCTGTAGCGGCCTGGCGTGATGGCCGTGACTCCGAGCAACCTCAGCCGAGTACCACGCTTCGCTGAGTGCGCCTTCCTCGCCCTTTGAAGGAGTGCCTGCGGACCTTCTGGGGCGTCTGGAACGGCTTGCCCTTGCCTCTGGCCTTCCACTGACGTCGGGATGGCGCGTCTGCTGGGTTGTCCTCGGTCGTGATATACCCCGCGATCGGGTAGAGGCCTCCTGTCACGCAGAGGGCGGACCACTTTCGCAGGAGCCATTGCAGCCTGACGCTCGATGATCTCCCTTTTGTCGCGATAGCGGCCACGACTTGAGTCGAACAGGTGGGCGAACCTGGCGTTGAGGTGCTTGCTGGAACGCGAGCGCCACGGCAAGGCTGCGACCCCCGCCTGCAGCTCGCGGGCGTTGATATGGAGGTCGCCCTTGTCCTGCCACCGAAGCGAGACCACGACCCGCCAGTGCCAGTTGAAGGGGCTGGTGCTCGCTCGGGGCCACGCCCGCGGCCGGCGCGGTAGGCCGGCGCCCAGCCTGATGTCGCTCCCGCTTCGGTCGCTGAGCGCGAGGAACTCCCCAGTGAACTGCGACGCGAGCTTCCTGTCGTACTCCGCGGCGCCCTTGGTGCAAGAGCCGACCTCGCCCCAGGATGGCGGGCAGGCCCCCCGCGCGAACAGGGCTTCGGCGGGGAGCTCTCGAGCGAGGAGTCCTCAAACCAGAAACAGCTGCTGGAGGAACCAGGTGACGGAGTAGACCGAGTAAGAATTGCCCAGAAAGGAAGTTCCTCGTATCGGAGATCCCGAGGGTCTCAGGGTCCTTGTGAGCGACTCTGGTGCAGTGTCTGTCAAGTCCCAAAAGAGCCTCTCTCTCCTCGGGGTTCGGTGCACGAAGACTCCCATCCTTGTTACTCCGAAGCATGCTGCTCTCCTCGTACCAGCGCAGATGATAACGATGATCGTCGAGAGCCCATCTCCTTTTCGCGGCCTCGGAAACAGTGCGAAGGTCTGCGGGCATCGTGGGCCTACTCGCCGCAGGGCGTGGGCACGCGAGCGTGGGGACAGGCGCGTCCCCACCTCCCCAGGTCCAGCCTGCGGTCGCCCAATCGAGCGGGACGACCGTGCCGTGGGCGCGCCTCGCCGCCAGAAAGTCCCGGCGGCCCTGGCGCGCCTCTTCCACCGTGATCTCACCCCGCGTCTTGAGCGGCCAACTGCGCCAGTAGTACCGCGGGCGGCAAGCAGGGACGAGGACGGAGGAACAAAGCTTCGTCGGCGTGACGCCCAGCTCTTTGGTAGTTTCCTCCCGGTCCTGCGGGCTCATGGAAGCAACGTTCTCAACCAAGAACTCGAACTTCCCCTTGAAGTGCTTGCGTAGGAGGCCGTGAACCCGTAAAACCCCGCATAAGCTCTCGGAGAGGGATCCCGCAGGCCCTGCCTTGGCGAGGTTGACCCCGCTAAAGTCGTGGCAGGGGCTGCTTGCACCGCATGCGCAGACATCGCACGGGCTGTGGTAGGTGTCAGCGAGCTTGACGACGTCGGCCTCGGTGATGGACCTGGTGTCACCCCAGTCCGCGGTCCCAGGCCATCGAAGCCGTGCCACTCGCCTGGCGGGCTTGTCTATCTCACTGCAAACCATGCCGATGATGTCGACGGGCAGCCTGGACATCGCGACCGCCAGCGCTCCGATGCCATCGAACAAGGCTCACGATAAGCACCTTGGGACGAGCGGGGGCGCTCCCAGTGGGGCACGCACAAGGACCTGGCCTCGAGCTGCCACGGGCAACTCCCATGCCCGTCCTGGCGCCCGAACGCACCGCCTCCAGCTGCTCCACCGCCAAGGAGGTCAGGCCCGCGGAGGCACACACCCCTCCGCCGCTCCCCGAGGCGTCCGAGACAGTGGCGACGTGCGACACCGCGGCCCTCAGGCCGGTGCAAGCGATGGGCAAGTATCCTACACAGATCAGGAGCTCCTGGGGCATGCCCGTGTTGATGCGGCCCCCCCTCGTCTTAGTCGGGAACTCCCAGACCAAGTTGAGGCAGCTGAGGAGCGGCCTCCTGAACTCCAGCGCTCTGACAACCCGCCCCAACAGCGTGAGCATGGGCAGCCGCGGGCAGTAGTCGCGGCCCAGCGCGTACAAGATGTACCTGACTAGCTCGATCGTCTTGTCAGTCGGCGCCCTGACCGTGCCGACGCTGCCGTCAAGAGAGGCGCCCGTCCTCTCTAGCTGCAGGTGCCTCGCGTGGCTCTTGTCCTCCGCGTAGGCGACCTCCGCCCTGGCGCGGGCCTGCCGCGTGGCGAGCTGCATCTCGCCAGGCGTGCCCACCTCTCGGTAGGCCTCGGCCGCCTGCGTGACCTCGGGGGAGTCGAAGTCGTCTCTGTAGACCTGCCACCACGCGTGAGCTGGTTGCCTCGCCAAAGGCCGAGCCCGATCCCGCCTCCGCTCCGCGGCCGCGCGAAGGCCCGCGCCCAGCCGCGGCGCTCGGAGGGCCAGGCGGCGGTGGAGGTGCTAGAACAGGGTGGCCGCCAGGACCCAGCCCATGGGGATGACCCGAAACGCGACATAGACGAGGTGGTCGCCTGGAAGCCCCGCGGCGCTAGCAGGCGCAGGCGCCGACGCGGCCATCCTGCCCCACCACGCTGGGGGCAGCTTCCACACGTAGAAGGCGCCCTTCTGGTCGTCGCTGCTCCATGCCATGACGCACCCCGCTGGTAAGTGGATGCTGGTCCATGTAGTCGACGCTGCGAGGGTCGCTGTGTCCTCCACGATGTTCCGGATGTAGGCGTTGGAGGGTATCATGTTGAAGATGAGACGAGCACAGCGGACCTGCCCTTCGAGCGGCTTCCCCTTTTTCTCGCGGGCGAACAGCCCGTTGAAAACCTCCTGGCCGTGCGGCGCGAAGATGTCCGCCTCGCGCGCCACCAAGGATGCCCAGGCTCAACAGGTGCTCCGCCACCTCGTGCCAGTCCTCCATCTTCTCGCAGCTGACCCGCGCTCGAGGTGGAGCATCGGGCCACTCCGAGGGCGGCAGGGTAACAACCTCTGGGTCCAGAAGCCACTCCAGGATGTGCTCGTCGACGAATTCCTCAGTCTGGAGCTGCGCGGCGTGCTGCTTATCGGGAAGGCCTGGGATCAGCTCAGCCATGCGAATCGGCAGGGCCTCGCACTGCTCCTCACCAGCGAAGTCGACCCTGAGCTTGGAGACCTTCGTGGACCAGTCCACGCTCGGCTGGCGTACCAGCGGGCCCCCCAGGAAGCCGTCAACGTGTGCGATGATGGTCTGGTACGCGGTCCTCTGTGCAAGGTGCAACGCGGGGGAGTGCTTCCGACAGCGTGGGTCACCCCTGCCGACGTACTCGAAATTCAGCGACAGCACCGCCAGGTATGTCCATATCTCTCGGGCGAACAAGCGCCCTTCAGCACGAAACCTCCGTCGTCTTCTCCTCGGTTCGTCCTGAGACGCGACCCGCGCTCGGACAAGCGAAAGGTCGGGGAGGGCCATCGGCAATAGGTCTCGCGACCCTACCTGCGGCCCTCGAGTCGTGGGACGGTGTGGACGAAACTCTCTGCAAAACTGTCCAAATCGACCAGGGCGCTGCCAGTGCAAGGTGACGATGGCGACGCCCAGGTCCAGCAAGCGCGGCGTGTCGGGGACAGCGCTAGAGGCAGCCGCCCGTCACTGAGTCAAGTCAGTACAAATTGGCAAGGACTCTGGCCAGCGGGCCCCTGTGTTGGTGGCCGACGCGGCCACGCGGCCTAGCGCGCGGGTCGGGCCTGGCGGCCCCGCGCCTCCTGCATCAGCTTCCTAAGGTGCATGCCGTAGGCGCCCCTCGTCTCGCCCTGCCTCTTTGGGTGGGCCCCTTTGACGGCCTTCCAGGAGAACGCCTTGTGCGGGTTCTCCTTGGAGTCGTCGTCGTCGCGCAGCTGCACTGTCCGCGGCGGCCCTGGGGCTGGGCGGCTCGGAGTCGAGGCCCCAGGTGGCGGCGGAAGATCCTCGACGAGGCCCGCGGGCGTCCGAGCTCCAGGACGATTCAGCGACCACTTGCCCTGACCCCCGCCGTGATGGCCTACAGGGGGGGAGCTGCTCCTCGACGACTCCCTCTCCCGGCCTAGCCCCTAGCCCTTCTTGAGCTTGGCTAGGAGCTCCTCGAGACGCAGCTCGCCCAACTCCACGGTACGGACGATCTCCTCATCCGCCGTCCTGAGGGCCAGCTGCTCATTCGACGGTGGGATAAGTTCTAGCCAGCGCGCCCCCGACCAGGTCTTGCCAATCGCGAACAGCCGCAGCGCCTTGGAGCGCTGGCTCAGCACGTCGAGAGCATAGGATGTTTTGCCCGACAAGATGGCGTCCGCTGCCTCGCACACCGCCCGCATCTCACGGTGGACCTCGATCCCGATGGACTTGATCGGGTTCTGAGGGATAAACACGTTGAGGAAATACTTGAGGAAGATCGGCGGAAACTCCTCGGACGTCTCCTCCCCGACCTGGGCGGTAACATACTCGCTCATCTTGGCCAGGGCCTGCCCCGAGAGGAGACCGGGAAACTTCGCGGCGATCTGGCGGAAGTGACCTCGGCGAGTGGCGAGCCCCCGCGGCACGGCACCGTCGCTGCCCCCGCTGGTGGCACCGAGCATCGACTGCAAGAGGTCCGCCGAGCTGCTCTTGCTCGACGCCGCCTCGAGCAGCAGCTGGAGCAGAGGCCCTTCGCCACTCCCGCCAGCGCCTGCGGCAGACGCAGGACCTGCAGGCCCGGCGAGCACGTCAGGCGGCCGCCGCTTGCCGGCGCGCTCCTGAACGACCTCCTCCAGCGGCCGCTTCGCGCTACCGCGGGGAGCGGCAGGGCCGCTCCGCCTCCAGGGCGCTCCACCGTCACCGCCCCGCCCTGGCCAGGCTGCAGCGCGCCGCGCAGCCGCTTCAGGCGGGCGCGCAGGGCCCCCGCGTCGCGCGCCTCGGGCTCGCCAGCTGCCAGCCGAGCCCCCGCGGCCTCCAGCGGGGTGGCTGCTGAGCCGCGGCCTGCTTCGCCCCGGGGCGGGGAGCGGCGGCCCTTGGCCTGGCAGCGGCGGCCGCCCGTGGCGCAGCGCGCTCCCTGCAGCTGTCCAGCGGCGTGCCGTGCTCGTCCACCTCGGGCGAGCCACTCTCGACCAAGTCTCCTCCTGGCTCGGGCCCGAGGTCCTCGGGCCAGCTGGCCCAGGAGTCAGTGCCCTTGCCCTCCCTGTAGAACTCCGCCAGCTCGGCAGCGTCGACCTCCTCGAACTCGGAGACGCGGATGACCGTGACCCTGGGAGCTGGCGGCTCTGCCGCACACATCTCGCGGACACAGAAGTGATACAGCACACGACCAGCACCGCCCTGCTCGACTGGGTGCGCCATCCACCACGACCAGTATCCATCACTGCAGCAGATCTGCGAGGCCCGCGCGAAACGGCCTCCGCTGGTCGGGGCGTAGACCCCGTCGACCCGCAGCGCATGCCCCCCCTGCGGCCTGTCTTGATCGTCGAAGGCGCCGCAGCGGCACATGCCCCCAGCATCGACGAGGCCTGGGGCGCTCTCCACTAGCGCGCCCTCTGCATCCTCGGCGGCCACCTCCATGCCAGCAGAACTCTCGGCTGTCTGAGGAGCGCGCGCACGCCAGAGAGCAGAGAGGGCGCGTGCTGCGGGAGAAGGGGGGGGCCTCCCTCTCTGCTACAGAAAACTGGAACCTCAAAGAGATCTACGGATCTCGCCCTCAGGTTTCACATGATGTCTCAAAGGATGCGGCGCTGCTCGGTCTTCGAGCGCTATGTTACAATCGTGCCGATATGAGCTCATATATATATATATATATATATATATGGTTCCCCCCCCCAAGATCATACATCTCGTCTTAGCATAGCATAGCATAGCGCAGCATAGCATAGCATAGCGCAGTCTATCATCGCATAGTATAGCATAGCGCCGCATATCATAGCATAGCTTAGCTTATCATAGCACAGCGCAGCATCGCATCGCATATCATAGCATAGCATAGCGCAGCATATCGTACAAATAGCACATCATAGCTTTGCTACTCCTCCTCCTCCTTCTCCTCCTACTACTACTACTACTACTACGGCTACGACTACTACTACTACTACTACTACTACTACTACTACTACTACTACTACTACTACTACTACTACTACTACTACTACTACTACTACTACTACTACTACTACTACTGCTACTACTACTACTACTACTACTACTACTACTACTACTACTACTACTACTACTACTACTACTACTACTACTACTACTACTACCTACTACTACTACTACTACTACTACTACTACTACTACTACTACTACTACTACTACTACAACTACTACTACTACTACTACATTTACCACATTTACTACATTTACTACATTTACTACATTTACTACATTTACTACATTTACTACTACTACTACTACTACTACTACTACTACTACTACTACTACTACTACTACTACTACTACTACTACTATTACCGCTACTGCTACAATTGCGACGATGAGGAGAAAGAGGAGGACGGCGTTTACCGTTACTACTAAATATTGCTCTCCTCGGGGCTTCATATCCTCGGGGCTCCTCTGGGATAATTTTCAAGTTCAGCTTGGGGAGGGAGCCTGTTGAGTATCGGCTGGCGCGTTGGAGACGGAGGGTGTTGAGTACTAGATGGTGTGCTGGAGACGGAAGGAGTTGAGCAGACTATCATTTTCAAGTTCAGCTTGGGGAGGGAGCCGGTTGAGTATCTGGTGGTGCGTTGGAGACGGAGGGAGTTGAGTAGTAGGTTATTTTCAAGCTCAGCTTGGGGAGAGAGCTCGTTGCTCCCCTGCCGCCTCCCCCCCCCCAGCACCTGTCTCTGTGCCTCCCGAATCAAGACAAAACGCGCGCGTGCACCGTGTTTGGCGCCACCGATGCACGGAAACGCTGTGTATTTTTGTTTTTTGGGGTTTTTTGGGGGTCTGCGAAGCCACGAAACATTCTGTATTTTTTTTTGGGGGGGGGAGGGGGGTTGCAAGCCCCCGTGCCCGCCGCGGCCTCCCTCCCAGCACCCCTCTCTCTGCCTCTCAAAACCAGACCCCCCCCCAAAAAAAACACAGTGTTTCGTGGCTTCGCAGGCCAAAAAAAACAAAAACAAACCAACATACACAGCGTTTCCTTGCATCGGTGGCGCCAAGCATTGCGTATATATATAAATATATGTATATATATATATATAGAGAGAGAGAGAGAGAGAGAGAAATAGAGAGAGAGAGAGAATGAGAAAAAAAAGAAAAAGAGAGAGAGAGAGAGAGGCAGAGAGAGACAGAGAGAGAGAGGCAGAGAGAGAGAGAGAGAAAGAGAGAGAGAGAGAGAGAAAGAGAAAAAGGAAAAGAAGCAGTCGAGGATGAGGAGACGAAAAGGTATGATCTTGGGGGGGCGACCACACATATATATATATATATATATATATATATACACACACATATACATATATATATATATATATATCGTTGCAAGGCCTTGACGAATTTGCGCCTGAGCTAGTACCGCACACCAACACGGATACTTGCGATCAAAAAAAGTAATACCCTCTGCTGCCAATCGATCATGTTCCGTTGCCTCTACGTTTGCCTGATCCGCCGCCGCCGCCCCAGCACACAGTGGAAGAGGTGCCTGAGCCACCGTATCATTCTGCAGATTAAATTGAGTCGAACATGCAATGCCAACCTGTTGGTGTTAGTGCAATTGGCGAATATACAGCATCGTCTGCTCCACCTTTAGTCAACCCGTCAGAACATGTACAACATAATGGATGAGAGCGGTGTGACGCACGCGGCTGTACTTTCACGTTGTTTTCGCGTTTGGGCTGGATGCCATCGGGCAGTCACGCTGGTTATGGCTTCGACACAATCAGCCGCGCCATACCGTTTCACAAACAGGTGCCGATGCAATCTACCGCAGCTTCAGCAGGTAAAAACAAATTTGGCAACTCAGTTGACACAGTTGCTGTGGGCTCAGAACCGCCTGGAAACATTCACTTAGCTAGAACCGATACTGTTGCACACGCGCCTCAAGCATTGGCTACTGTTGCAGATACTGTTGAAGATGCGCCTCCTGCGTTGGGCACGTCCCGAGCAATTGTTGCAGAAACGCTTCAGGCAGTGGATACTGTGGCAAATACTGTTGCTGAGACCCTTGCAAACACGCCTCAAACTATGACGAACAATGACATATGGACTACATTGCGGGTCTCATCGCAGCAAACGGATAACCGTTGCTTGTGCAATCAGAGCTCGTATTGTTTCTGCCACAGCTCCCAGTCAGTAATTCTACATTTGACGCTTCACTTCTCCATGCCGCGTTACGAAATGCAAGTTTTTGTGGACCTCTCACACATGTTGTATCGGCTGTTGGCTTGTGTAACACATATTTCGTCGCACGCGTATGTTCTCTCACTGTTACCTTGCATTCACGGTCACCCATGCTGTCTCGGCTGTTGTCTTGTGAACATGCGTGGCCCGCACGTCTTTCATCGCACGCGTATGCTCTCTCACTGTTACACACGTTGCCCTTCGCAGGCGTGGTACGCACCATGTATGGATAAAAACAGCCAGCGACGTTGCGGCACACACTCCGGCGCGCATCTGGCGCGTCGTTATACAGAGGATGGATGGTTGGCTTTGCGGCAGGTGGAGGCGGAGGGGGAGGAGGACCTGGCAAGCACCATCGGCATTTGTTGTTTGGACGCATGCCGCTGACGTGCATGCACTGCTACCTCCCAGGCTTGCATCGCAGCCAGCAGCACTCTGACCTTAGGGATGGGAAAAAAAACATGTGGAAGCAAGCAGCGGCGGCTGGAACCATTACAAGCTGCGCCCAAAGGGGCGCAGAACGAACTGGGCAAAGCGGCGACGGCGCCGCTTCACCACAGGTGTCGGCTGGCACCAGGAGGGGTACACAGCTGCCAAAGACCTGCGACAAACAGCTGGCGAGATTCGCCACTGGAGAGGACAGGCTGAATTCAGAGACCTGAGACACACAGCATGCGCGATTAGCCACTGAGTGACACAGACCAAGACAATGAAAAAAATCAGTCCGAGTCATCACTGTTGCCTCTGCTGGCAATACAATAATGAAGAGGGAGCCTCGAATCGTCCTCCCCGCGACGGGCTCCAACGACACCAGCAAGTTGCCTCGACGAGGCAGCACCGGCCGAACGTGATGCGACAAGCTGAACCACAACGTGCCGATGGCCAAAAAGCTCACAGCCAGCGCCGACGTCCACCGTCATGTGGTGCCTGCGGGGGTTAGGGTGCATCCCTTTGCACAGGCAGCGCCAATGTTGTCCAGCGTTCCTGGTGGGATGTCCATCATATCTCCTGCCCAGCGCGTCAACGCGCGCACCAGTGCTGTGACACCTGCACTTGATGGAGACAAAAACGTGACTCCCATCATCGCAGAGAAACAAGCAATGACTTTGTGACCCAGCTCACACAGCACACCTTCGTCAAGCTTGCTTTTCCCTGCGCAACGGCCTGGCGCAGGCTCCTCCTGCTGCCGACAGCCTGCCAAACAGACTCTGCACCCCCACAAGCCTAACCGAACTTGCCAGTCGTGATGTTTGCAAAGCGACGGCACAACAGTAGAAACCTTAGGGGCGAGAGAGAGCTCCAGGCGAGGCCATTCTAGCAACAGTTTGGCCGCTAGCAAGCACACCGTGCGGGAGGTCGCTACAAGCCTGTCAGCCTCGCCCAGCAGCGCACTGTCTGATGGATGCAAAAGATTAGAATGCTTCGCCGCAATGCCGGCATCATTGTTACGCTTACGATGATATCGTTCCTGCTCGTCAACGCTTTCCTGGTAAAGGCCCTGGTGGGCAGCAACTTTGCCCACATCGGAAATAAGATTGCCTTCGCGAGCGTTCGCTTCCATGCTGAGTCCACTGTAGACCCTCTTACCCGAGAAACGCTCAGGAAAGGGAAGCTTGGAATGCTTGACAACCTGACTACAATCATAATAGGCTGTCGAGGGGTACTTGGCTAAAAGACCAGCCATACCCGTCGCTAGAAATTCACCCGCCTGGGGAGTCTGCGGATACTGAGCCCACACAGGCCCTCGCACTTCCCCTAAAACAGATCCCGAGTCATCATGCATAGTGACAGCCCAAGCAGCCCTGCTGGGTTCCCTGACGACGTGTCGCCGACAAGAATCATCGAGGAACAAGTGGCCCCAGACAATCCCGTCCTGAGGAACTTCAGGCCCTTCCAAGACTTCCCTATGTAACACATTTTGGACCATACCTTCCAAGCGTGGACGAGGCATAATCGGCGGGATGAGCGAAAGCTCCATGCCAGAAAAGGACGTGCAAGTACCCTTCGGCCTCAGTATCCAAAGCGGCAGTAATCACCGAAGCGTCGGCCCACTGAGCCCGAAGCTCACCAGCTTTGCGGCAGGTGGAGGTGGAGGGGGAGGGGAGGAGGACCTGGCAAATACCATCGGCATTTGTTGTTCGGGCGCATTCCGCTGACGTGCTTCCATTGCTACCTCCCAGGCTTGCATCACAGCCCGCAGCACTCTGACCTTGGGGACGGGGGGTGTG